AAAGAGGAAAGCAAGCTGAGATAAAGTGCTGGCTTTACCTCTGTACACAGCGAGGCTGCTGTGCCTTGTTGCACTGCTCACATTTCAGGGTGATTCAGATACTCCTCGAAAGAGAGAAACAAATATTATCTAGGAAGCCTTACAAAAATTAAGCTTGTGGTGCTCCAGTCATCTGCAGAGAAAGATGGGGAGGTAATTTATCACGTTGGATGGGTCCTCAGTCATAGGAAAGATACTTGATACTAAGGGGGATGTTCAGTCTTGCAGACAAAAACATAATAAGATCTGATTTCTGAAAGCTGAATTTAGTGGAACGCAATTTTGAGCTAAGATGCTGTTCCCGGCAGCGAGGGGCTGTTTAATCGCTGGAAGTGCTTCCCAGACGTGGCCGCGTGAGCATCACCTGCAATCGCCAGGAGGAGACCAGACGTAGACTTCAGAAACAGAGACTTCAGTCAGGCTTCTGGGAAAGTTTCTAGAGCCTCTGGCTCTCTGATTTGAGACTGAACTATCCCGTGGCCCCTCTGGCCGTACATATTCCACAAATCCGTTAACACAGTTGAATTTTGTTCCTATCAAACTCTGTGCTCCGTAACCACGGCTTACACGGAGAATCACCGGGGAAAGATTTTCAAATTGTCTGCCGTGAGAACACGTGGGTTTGTCACAATTAAAATATTTGACGCAATACTGTAGGTTTGGGTTTTGAACACAGCAGGGAAAACCGGCAAGCAAGCAGGTGAGGCGGACAGCCAAAGCCAGTGGCTGTCCCGAAACAAGGAGGAGGGGGAAAGAGCTGGAGCTGCAGGAGGAAAGGGAGGGCTGGGAGCCTGGGCGTGAGGGAAAACGCGCTGCTTGTTGAGAGAACAGGAGACTGGGCGAGGAGGTGAGTGGGGAAGAGCGAGTAAAACCTGATGAGGAAAAGCAGCGGAGGACGAAGGCAATGCTTGCGTTCAGCAGAAGAGGAAAGAGTAGACCGTGGTGATCTTTGTCTTGGAAAAGAAATTTTATTTGTCAGTGGGAACTGAACAAAATCCTATTACTTCAATTCTAGATTCCTGCCTATGTCAGGAATGTCAGTCTAGTTTCTTCGGAGGTTTGTATTTTGGGATATTTGATTACAGTTGCTGCTGTGATCCAGCTGTCCCACTGGATCCTTCTGTGACTCCCGACGTGGCAGGACCAGCAGCAGAGCATGCTACGAGCTCCTCATTCACACTGAAATTAATGTTGTCATATTTCTAATCTCTTCTTAGCAGCCACCCTAATTAAATCAATGGGCTGAACAACGAGGGGATGTTTCACCCACCCATTTTCTGGGGGTGGATGCAGGGAAAGACTGGACTAAAGCCGACCCCGACCCCGGCACAGCCCCAGCACCAGAGACGTTCCTTAGCTTGCTGTCGTTGGGACCGGCCACCCAGCTGCCATCGGGGCAGCGCAGCAGGCGCCAGCCACCTCCTCGGTGCTTAGTGACAAGTCTCAGGCAAATAAAAATCACCTGGATAAGCTGCACTGGGTGGCAGGTGTGAAGAATCCCTCTGCGGTACTGCTTCACTGACAGCAGAACGCAGGCAAATCGCTCTTTTTCCACCTTCAAAGGTGCAGAACCTCGAATAAGAAGTTTAATGCTGCTGGAAATCTTACACCGTAACATTTACTTCATCTGGAAGAGATTTCCGCAGTTCCGAAAATGTATTGCGCCAGTCAGTTTTATCTGTTTACTTGTGGGGAGAACTGTTTTGAGTTATTTGATTCCTTCACTTGACTTTCTGGAAGTACGTTTGTTCTTGAAGGATAAAGAAATGAGTAGCTCGGATTTAGGAAGATATTTTTAAAATATTGTAGGCTGACTAAAGCCGCTGTGTACGCCACGTTATCCATCATATTCTGCTCTCAGATGGATTTCCACATTTCAGACAGGTTGATCCCTCACCAGCTGTCCTTCGGAAGTAGATTTAATTTTCACACTCTGTGGACAGAAATAAGAATTCCTTGCAATGTTTTCTCTATTGCCAAGCTGTAGCATTAATGATATTTGATTTGGGCTGGGACGGGGGATGGGGGAGACCTGTATTAACCAGGCCCCACTGCAGGGCGTGGGGACCCCGAGGAAGGGTCGTGGCGTGGCAAGGCTGGCATGGGGGAGACATGCAGGGGGAGGCTGTCCACCTTCTCCTCTGGGACTTCTGCCCAAGGAAGATGAGTAACGGGTTCATTGCAGGCATCTGCAAAGAAATGTGGTGGATAAATTGTCCCTTTCACTGGAGATCGCTCTCTGGTGTGTTGCAGCCCCTAAACAAGCCCTGTGATGACTGCACGCTTTTGCAGCTGATCGCGTGCGGTCGGGAGGAGGGGACTGTCACCTTGGGGAGTTAGACTGCCGCAAGCTCCGACGTAGATCTCTGCTCAGGTGACTGCGTGAACCTGCTCGAACTTCAAAGGCGGGCAGTACTGATCTCCACTGCTTTAGGAACTGGGAAAGGTTCAGCCTTCCCCAGGCCTTTGTTTCCCCTACAGACAATGTTTCTCTGCTAATTAAAAAGCACTCTACACAGACTTTTCATTTTCTTTGCTCCCAAATGCATAGCCACAAGCAAGCACTGTGAATTTCCAGCTTTTTGAAGTCTGTCTGGCCCCAGCTCCTTTCTATGGCTGAAATACTTCCAGTCACTGGGCCAGGGAAAGGGCTGGAGAACGTCTGCAGGCGGGGATCCCGAAGCACACGGAACCTGCCTGTGGTTATGAAAAGCTCTGGGCTTTTCAAGTTCATCGAAGGAACGCTAACAATGTCCTCCGGGTTGCCAAGGCGTACGTATGGGTTCAGACGGTCGGGTTTTGGCGGTGACAAATTGGAGCAAACCAGCCCAAGCTGGACAGAAGCTTTGGTCAGGAAAATGGAAGGTCATAAACTGTTCTTTGGTCTCGTTTTATTGGAACCCATTTAACTTGCAGAGCAGTTTGGTTTTAAAGCAGTCGTTACAGAAGGTTCTGAAGCGCCCGTGTGTATGATCTGTATCTTTTACAGATATTTGTACAAAATTTGTTACTTATTATAGAGATTAGTGCTTTTCAGAAACATCAAAAGGGTGTGCCTTGTTACCACACGGATTTGGTTTCTGTGTCAAACATAAGACATGTAAAGAAATACGTATTTTTGAAAAAAACAAGATTCACTTTGAAACCCGGAATTGCTGCCTTCATTGCTGGGACGCTGGGTTCCTTTCCTCCCTGTGCCACACTCCAAGCGGTGAAGCATTCCCTTAAGGGTAGGGCATGGAATGCTTGCCATCATTTTCCATCCATGTGGAACTCTGTTCCTCTATGCCCAGATGTAGAAGTAGTACAGAAAATGGAGTTTAGTGAAGAATTCTGCTGATGAAATGAAAGAAAAAAATCTAGCTTCTTTTTCCTTAGCCACGTTGCTACTGGCAGCCCAAAAGCAATACAGAGCAACAGAAATAAATATATTTCAGTCTTCTCCACGAACAGATACGACTCTCCAAGTACACACGGGGTAGATGTAATAGGCATCATTATTTTTGAAAGTACAAGAAAAATTTAATTTCATCAGCTTTTCAAACTGTCACGAGCAAGCTCAGCCTTCTCTGAAACAAGAGCATCCATCGGTCGCAGTTTGCTGGGAACTCGATAACGATACCCGCTTTGCACAAAGGGGAGGAAATGGCTGCTTGCTCACTGGTGGCATTTTGAACCCACGGCTGAGCTTCTTCCAGCGTGATGGAAGCAGCTGTGGCCACACCTAAACAAGGTTTTTGCGTAGTTATATTTCAACAAGCGCGTGTGTTTTTACCGGTGACGGCAGTGCAGGTGTCGCGGCTCTCCTCAGCTCGCCCGGCTCTGCCGGGGTTGCACGGATTCAGCAGCTCTCCCTTACCAGTTTCCCCTTCTTTCCTTCCAGTTTCTCCGAAGATATTTCGCATCTCGAGTGACATCGTTGTGAACGAAGGGAGCAATGTCACCCTGGTGTGCCTGGCCACGGGGAAGCCGGAGCCTTCCATCTCCTGGAGGCACATCTCGCCGTCCGGTAAGCGCGACTCCGTCACCGGGAGCTCTCCGCCGCGCGTCACCGCTGACGGGTGCCGCACCACGCGTTCTCGGAGGTGCGACGGCATCGCTTCTGAGCGCCTTCGAAAGAGCGGGCCCCGCGAGACTGTGAGAACATAGAAGCTTATTCAGATTTCAGCTGAGATCAGCAAAAACTATAATACGACTGTAACGTAGGAAAGTAGAAATAAAGGCACCCAAAATATGAGCATATTTTTAAGGCTTAAAAATATGCTTTAAGGCATTTTAACAGGCTGCAGACATTTATCTACCAAACTATTCCAATGAAAAGCAAAACAAGGAAATAATCAAGCACACGCAGGGCTGTCTAGAAGCACGAGAGAAAGTTAAAAACATGAACACATCAGGCAATAGATTTAATTTCGTGAAACTACCATGGAGCCATTATTCCATGACACAGCATAATTTAATTGAATAATTTCATTTAGCAAATTAAATTATACATACGAAAAAATACAAACAAAATGGCATCTAAATGCATAGTTTCTATCTAATATTTCCATTTGCACTTCTAATTCCACGTAACTGATTTCAAGGAGAACTCTGAGCTGAGATGGCGGGCATGGCTACGCTGGCTGGCTGGGTGCAGAGCCGCCGGCGCTGCCTCCCGCGAGCCCAGCAGGACCCATCCTGCTCCGAGGTGGGGAGGACCCCGCGCCGTGTCCGGAGCCGCTGGCTCTGGGCGTGCTGGTGGGTGCTGGGAGGAGGCACCCCCCTCCAGCAGGCTGTCGCACGCAGGACTGGTGCTGCACTGGTCCTTTCGTGGGGACTCTGCCACGATCATTGATTTTGCAGTGGAGGTCCTGCTGTTTGCTCACACGACTTTTCTGAAAGCCATGTAATTGCAGGGAAGAACAGTTTCGTGGACTGTCACAGCTCACCGCAGCGTCTCATCATCCTGAGTAACAGTTTGCTTTACAAAGCAAGATCTAAAAAAAAAAAACAACTTTTGACCTTTAAGACAATGACAATGAATTCTGCTTGAAGTGTCCGTCAAGGGACCAGGGAAAAAAACTCAGTTGTAGCAAAAAATGGATTTTAACTAAATGTCAAATCAAATTTTATTGGAAACCGTGGTGATACTTTAGAGTAATAGCTTAAAGCATTAGATTGTCTCCAGAAAGGAGCTGGTATGATTTTCCCAGAGAGGAAAAAAGCAGCAAAGGAGAATTAGTGCACTCAGGCTGGAGAAGGAGTCTGGGGAGGAACTGGCTCCTCCTCATCTTGAATTCAGACAAAATTAGCGCAGGCAATCACAAGGGCTGTCGGTGAACCCAGGGATTCTGCGTCTTGACCAAAGCCCTGAGAGTGAGGCCGGAGAGGAGAAACGCGACCGCTCCACTACAGACCCGTTGCGCTCACCACAGTGAGAAGGGCAGACGGAATCTGAGGCACAGGCCAAGCAAAGCTGCCGCGGCACGGGGGGTCGAGCAGCGCGCTCTTGGTGCCGCGCTGCTGTGCTCTGAGGGGTGCCCAGCACGGCAGCCTGCGGGCAGGCAGCTACGGTCCCACCACCACGGGTTTAAGGGCAGGGAACTACAGCCTGGGCTTGGTTCCCCGTCCCTTGCCCAATACCTGCTCCGTTCTGCTGCTCAGCCCAGCACCTTCTCCATCCAGGATTTTCGTTGGGGCAGGTCATCCTGCAGATCCCCTACACCTTCTCCGTCCAGGATTTTCATTGGGGCAGGTCATCCTGCAGACCCCCTACACCTTCTCCGTCCAGGATTTTCGTTGGGGCAGGTCATCCTGCAGATCCCCTACACCTTCTCCGTCCAGGATTTTCGTTGGGGCAGGTCATCCTGCAGATCCCCTACACCTTCTCCGTCCAGGATTTTCGTTGGGGCAGGTCATCCTGCAGATCCCTTACACCTTCTCCATCCAGGATTTTCAGTGGGGAAGGGCAGCTTAGGCTTTGCCACATCCCTTACTCTCTCACCAGCAAGCAGTAGGTTAGATGGAACACAAACATGGGCTTAACAAATTTGTTCCTTACAAAAAGGTAAAGCACAGAATGGAACCGCAGACTGGCTGAGGAGGGCGGGGATCTCTGGAGACCAGCTGGTCCAACTCCTGCTCAGAACGTGGCCAGTCGGGTGGGAATGTCTCCAAGGATGGAGATGCCACAGCCTCTCTGGGCAACCTGTGCCAGCTTTGCACAGGTTTACTGAACGTGTTCTGCCTGCTGGTATACCAAGGAAAGAAGAGTTTTTCCATTTCAGAAATGCTGTACCACTTCTGTGGTCAGGAGGATGTTCTGGGGTACAGACAGAAATGGCACTCAGATCCAATGAAGTATCAGTCTGGCAAAGAAGCAGCCTGGATTTACTAGAAAACAAAATGCAGGAGAGTTGAAAACCCCAGATTTCTGCAACGGTTTCTGTTCTGTCCGCAGCAAATTACCTTTATCTGAGCACAAGCTTCATCTGCACTTTATAATTTCTACCAGTTTTCTCATGTAATTCCCAGCGGCACTAATGAGGCTTACATGCAAGCATCACATCTAGAATACAGCACTAAATTATATTATAATGAATCATATTTAGAATATTCTGAAACTGTTTGTCAAAGCTGCTACTAAAAGATAAGAAACTGAAATCTCTGAATACAAATGATTCAATGTAGACTAATTCCAAAATATTATCGTGCTTTGCATCAGTGCAGCCTTCACTTGGATAAGGTCGGATTCCATTTTTTTGAACAAGAGATAAAATGAACCTTCTGTGGGAATAAGAATAAAATGTATTTAGAGGTGATTTTTAACTTAGTACATAAATTATTGGCCTGGAATCTTTATTGTGCGTGTTTAGCTTGCAGTCATTATGTAAATGCTTTCATTATATAAATATTCATTATACAAACCCATTATGCAAATCCACAAAACCTACACGTTCAGCGGAACTCCAACAGGAACGTGGGGCTGTAGTTTGTAATCTGAAAATCTCGCATTGTTGAAATGTCATCGGGATAAATTGCAGGTATTGCTTATTTTGTTCTGACATTTAAGAGCAAAGTGCAGCATCAATAGTTTAAGAATGAAACCAGAATTTTAAAGAATTCAGTTCAGTCTGAAACAGAGCTCCAGCTTTGAATAGGGGGGG